TCTCCAGAGCAAGTGCCAGGATAGGCTCCAAAGCTACACAAAGAAACCCTGTCTCGAAAAAACAAAAAACAAAACAAAACAAAACAAAAAATGTAAATCAGGTCCTCCTGCCTCAACTTCTAGGGTGCTCATATTATGGTATGTTATCATACCTGACCATTTTTTCAATAATTTTATGGTCTTTTATTTAAAGTTAGGCTTATTAATAAAAAAATAGTATTTTCAAAATGACTTTATTCTATGAGAATTTTATACAAAGTATCTTGAACATATTCATTCTCTCAATTCTTCCCATAAGCAAGCATCCTCTTCCCCCTTTACATCACTTCCCTCCTAGTTTTGAGATTTGTTCTTTTTTGTTTCCCCATCCAATTTAGTTGTATTTCTCAGCTGGTCTTGGAGTGGGGCCTGCTCTAGGGTGTGTGACTGACCTACCTACCAGTCATCACTCTGTTAATGGAAACAGGCTCCCCCTCTCCCTACAATTGGTGAAGGTATGTGAATTCATGAGAGGCCAAATAAGAGGATATCAAAGAAATATTAGGAAACACGAATACCAGCATGGTAGAGAGCCACCTCCGTCTTCCTTCCGTTCTGCCCTGGGGTCAGTGGAAGCAGCAATTTGATCTCCTGCCACCACACAAGAGAGTGAGTGACCCCTCCTCTTTCCTTGTAAGAGGTCATGTCTGTTGACAAGCGACACCCTAAGGCTGGTACCCTAGATCTATTGGAGGAGTAAATTCCCACAACACCTGCAGCTATCCAATGCCACTGGCTCCTCAGCTAGTGGTAGGATTTGATCCCTACTCTCCCTCTTTATACTGTGATTTTGTCTGGGTGGAGCTTGCATTGGTCAGTGGCTGTGAGTTCATGTGTGCAACTAGTGGCTCTTTTGTGTCTGGAAAACACTTTGCTTGGTGTTATCAATTTTGGCTCTTATAGTCTTTCCACCTGTAATGGCTATTCTTGGTTGTCAACTTGATTCTAACTGGAATGAACTATAATCTAGAAATGGAGGGCACACTTGTGATTCAGACCTTGAGGCTGTAA